GCAGGACTCAGAATTTGACCCTGAATCTATCACCCATGAATTAAAAAATCAACTCAGGAATAGGTTTGAGGCCTTGAACACTAATGAATGAAGACCAGATAAGCTGTGGGAAGATATCAAGAATATCATTCACGAAGAATGCAAAAACGTAATTACTGAGAAGGAAGAAGAAAAGATCAAAATGGATGTCAGAAGAGACTCTGAATATTGCACTAGAGCACCGATAAGCCAAAGCAAAGGGAAGAAATCAAGACGTTCAGGAGCTGACGAGAAGATTTCAAAGGGCTGCTCAGGAAGACAAGGCAGAATATTATAATGAAATGTGCAAGGAGCTGGAGTCAGAAAGGAAAAGGGCCAAACTTGCTCAGCATTTCTTAAGCTGAACTAAAGAATACATTCAAGCCATGAGTTGCAATGCTTAAGGATGCTATGGGCAGAATATTGAATGATTCAAGAAGCATTAAAAGCTGATGGAATGAGTACACAGAGTCATTGTACCAAAAAGAATTGGGTGACACAAGAGAATTTCAAGAAACAACATATGGTCAAGAGATAGTGGTGATGAAGGAGGAAATGCAGGCTGCTCTGAAGGACTTGGCCAAAAAAATAAAGACCCAAGAATTGATGGAATACCAATTGACGTATTTCAGCAAAATTGCACTGGAAAAGTCTGCTTTCAGGGACATCTCCAGAGAACGGAAGAGCAACGATGTCATCTGGAGACATCTGCACCTTATCCAGGCCATGGTCTTCACAATTACATGCTATGTATCAGAAAGCTGAACAATGTCTAGGGATAACAGAAGGAGAGTTGATGCTTTTGAGCTGTAGTGCTGGAGAAGAGTATTGAATATACCATGGACTGCTAAGAGAACAAACAGGTTTGTGCTAGAGAGGAAGAAACCAGACTACTCCTTGGAGGCAAGGATTCTGAAGCTCCATCTGACAAATTTGGGCATGTTGTAAGGAGGGACCAGTCCTTAGAGAGGGGAGTTATGCTTGGGAGGATGGAGATACAGTGCAAGAGAGGAAGACACTAGATGGGATGGATTGACTCAGTGACAGGAGTAATGGAGGTAGGTGTGTTGGAGACAATGAGGTTGACTTAGGATAGAGCAGGGTTCAGAGCTTTTGTACATAGGGTTGCTATAAGATGTAGATCACTTGACAGCACATAACAATGACACCCAAAGCAGCTACCTTTTCAATAAACCTGGTCAGTGTTGCATCCCTTTTGGTCAGTCTACCACAGTCATGTAAATTATCTGAATCTTGTGGTGCACATTGGACCACTCTGGGTGATGATTCATCTCTGATTACAGGGCATCTTTGTACATCAAGCCAAATACCATAGTTCTGGCTCCATAGTGCCAGGAACACATGTCAGTCAACTCTGTTCCCAGTACCCCCACCTTAGCAAGCCTTCTTCTTGTACAGCTTCCCTTTTGGCTCCCGTTTATGGCAATTGGTGGTAGGTGTTAAAGGAGCAGTGATTAAGCACCATGTGTTTGGTGGTTTGAACCCACCAACTACTCCCCAGGAGAAAGATGTGGCATTCTGTGAAGATTCAGTCTTGGAAATCATCCGAGGTAGCTCTACTCTATCCCACAGGCTCGCTGTGAGTCAAGGTTGACTCCAGCTACAGGTTTGATTTGAACCATGTGCCTTTGAGATTGGAGCCCAATTTCTTACCAGTAGGCCACCAGCCTTCGCTTTTGGTAGTTTTATGTTATGTTGTTATGTTATGTTATGTTATGTTATGTTATGTTATGTTATGTTATGTTATGTTATGTTATGTTATTATGTTATGTTATGTTGTTATGTTATGTTATGTTATGTTGTTATGTCATGTCTGTCAAGTATAACTCATAATGACTGTATAGATAATAGATCTGAACTCTGTCCTAGCCTGTGCCATGTTCAATACCTCTGACAAATCCAAGTCCTTGTGTCAGTGCATCTCATGGAGGGTTGTCTTCTCTTTTGCTAACTCTCTCTCCACCTTTCTAAGTATAATGTCCCTTTCGAAGGAATAGTTCCTCCTAGCATCTTACCCAAAGTTCTTGCTCATACCAGAATCAAGAAATCATTGCTTCTAAAGAAGAGATCAAATGAGTGTGTCAAGCCATTTTGAGCTTTGTATCTTAAGCTATTCTTTGAAGCTTAGTGGACAATCTGGGTTACTAAACATTTAATTCTAGCTTCTTATTTTGTGTAGCGAGAATGTGAACATAAAAAATGGATATGAACTTGAGTATATCCTACAGTTAGTTGAGATGGCAGTTTAAGATTTTATGTGGAAAGAGGCTTTGCAGCTCAGTGTAATCAAGCCAGACAAGCATTTTAATCAGTAGTAGTGTCTGCCTCACTACTAGTTATAGCTCTGATGACCTAGCCCTAAGGAGTGGCACTGCTAACCCAAAGGTTATTTAAATTACCAGTGGCTTCATGGGAGAAAGATGAACAATCTCCTCCAAGAATGCAATTATAACCTCCAAAACCCTGCTAGAGAGTCAGCTATGGTTCAATTCAGACACAACAGCAATGAGTTTGATGTTTTTCTAAACATCTGCCATAGACATTGTTAGGAATAATGCAGATGTATAGCTCCTGAACTGCAGATTTTCCCAGTGCAATCCATCTCCTATTTCCTGACTGCTGGTATCATGGGTGTTAATTGTGAATCCAAGTAAGATAAAGCTATTGACAGTTTCAATCTCCTCTACATCCATCATGACAATGCCTATCAGTCCAATGGTAAGAATCTTTGTTTTCTTGACACTGAGATGCAATCCATAACGAAGGTTGCATTCCTTGATCTTCTACAACAAGTGCTTCAAGTCCCTCTCACTTTGAACAAGAAAGTTGTATCATCTGCATAATACAGGTTATTGATGAGCCAATCTCTCTCCAATACTGATGCCGCACTCCTTTTTATAGAGCCCAGCCTCTCGAATAATTTGCTCAGCATATAGACTGAGTAGGTATGGAAAGAGAATACAACCCTAATGCAAACCCTTCCCAATTCCAACCCATGCAGTGCTTCCCTGCTCTGTTTGCCTAACAGCCTCTTGGTCCAAGTATAGGTTTCCCATGAGCACGATTAAGCTCTCTGGGGCTCCCATTCTTCTCAATGTCAGCCACAACTTATTATGATCCACACAGTCAAATGACTTTGCATAGTCAATAAAGCACAAACAGTCATTCTTCTGGTATTCTTTACTTTCAGCCAGGATGCATCTGGCATCAACAATGATGTCCCTGGTGCCACAGCCACTTCTAAATCCTGCTTGAACTTCTGGAAGTTCCCTGTCTATGTACTTCCGCCCATGTTTGAATGATCTTCAGCAGTATTTTGCTTGCATGTGATATTAATGATGTTGTTTGATAGTTTCCACATTCAGTTGGATCATCTTTCTTGGGAATGGGAAGAAATATGGACACCTTTCAATCCGTTTTGGCCAGACAGCCATCCTCCAAATTTCCTGGCATAGACTGGTGAATGCATCCAAGGCTTCATCTGTTAGTTGAAATAAGTTCATTGGTGTCCCATTGATTCATGGACCTTTATTTTTTACCAATGCCTTCAATGCTGCTTCCACTTCCTTTTTCATGACCACTGGCTCCTTTTCATATGGTACTTGCTGAAATTTTTCAGTGCTAATCAGTTCTTTCTGTTACGGTGACTCTGTGTATTTCTCCATCTTCTTTTGATGCTTTCTGGGTCTTTCAATATATTGCCCATAGCATCTTTCAATATTGTGACTCGAGGCTTAAATTAGTTTTCCAGTTCTTTCAGCTTGAGAAATGCAGAGTGAACTCCCCCCCTTTTATTCTCCAATCCAGTTCTCTGCACATTCCATTATAATACTTTGTCCTCCTGAGCTGCTCTTCGAAATATTTTGTTCAGCTCTTTTACTTTGGCATATTTTCCTTTTGTTTTGACTTCTCAACGCTCCAGTGCAATTTTCAGTGTTTCTTCTGACACCCATTTAGATTTTTTCTTTCTCCTCTGTTTTTTTATGACTTTTTCCATGCTTTCTTCATGGATGGTACTTTGGAATCATCCTACAACTCATCTGGTCTTTGATCATTGGCATTCAGTGCCTCAAACCTATTCCTAAAATACTTTTGAAATTCAGATGAAATAGATTCAAGATCCTATCTTGGTTCCTATGGACTTATTTTAATTTTCTTTGGCCTCAACTTTCTTTTTACTATAGTAAAGAAGAAAAAAACAAAATAATGAGAGCTGCAAGCATTTGACATGGAAACTTTTATCATCCTTGTGTGACTTTCAGAATTAGAAGCAGAACTGTTAAATTTTTCTTTCCAGGAAAAAAAGGGATTAGCATGCTTATTTGTTTCTTTTTGAATGCTATAAGTCCCCTGAATTCATGTATAAATGGGTTCAGTAGATTTTTCTAAAAATCCAACTTCAGTGAAATAATTTCCCCAATTTTGATTTTTTTTAAGCCATGCCACACTGTATAATGTATTCTTAAACAATACAGTCTAATTGGGAAAGTAAATGGCGAGTCCTCCTATAATTCAGTCCAGAAAAGATTTGGAGAACTCACACATACATCCACCTTCCACACATTTTATTTCTTTTTTTACAATTTACAATTTAATTTCCTTCCACATTCTTGTTTAATTTAAAGTGTTAGAAGACTATGGATAGCTAGTTGTTGTGGACTGTGGAGTCAATTCTAATGCCTGCGGAACCTCTGACAGGATAGAACTGCCCGGAGGGTTCCCAAAGCCAATCTTTGTGGTAGTAGGTCTTCTCTATCATGGAGTGGTGGCTGGTGGGTTCAAACAGCTGACTTTTAGTTATCAACCAACTACTTAACCTTTGTATGGTTAGGGCTTCTCGGATGGCTGGCCTGCATTTTATTTAAAGACAAGAGGAAGGGATTGGTGAGCTTGGAAGTCTTGCTTGCTACTGACTTCTGAGCAGAAGATCCCATTTATCATCATTTGGTCTCTGTTTTCAGATCAGACGCCAACTCCAACAAGATTCCTGAAAAATTGTGAGGAAGTGGGCCTCTTCAACGAGTTGGACTGTTCCCTGGAGCACGAGTTCAGGAAAGCCCAGGAAGAGGAGAGCAGCAAGCGGGTAGGTTAGCTTGAATGACCCCTGGAGAGACGCAGCCTCTGACACTGTTAGGAGCCTTTGTTCAGAAAGGAGGTGGTGCTGCAGATGGTATGAGCTTGTATCATCCATGCATTTTCGAGCATTGCCTAATGTTTCAGAGCCCTGGTGGTGCTGCACTGCTAACTAAAAGATTAGTAGTTTGAATCCACCAGCTGTTTTACCAAAGAAGTAACAATATGCTTCTGTAACATTAACAGCTTTTGAAGCCCTATGGGAGGATTCTGCTCTGCCCTGAGGGGATTGATAAAAGTTGGAACTGAATCACTTGCTGAGTGAGTTTGGTCTAAATAAAGACACTCAGCTTCTGATTTTGATAGCATCTAATGCTAAATAAAACTTGGAAAAATAGGCACCTAAAATATGAAATTCAAGCAAAAGAAGAAAGTACCTGATTCCTTGACTCACGTTCTTGACCTACATATACTTCCAGATTTTTCTTTGCAAAACCAGTTGTTTCAAACTTTACTAAATACTTAATAATCTTTTTTTTTATTGACTCTAGAATAGCTTATGTTATTGCAGTTTTGAGTGAAAGTTCACAGTACAAATTGGTTTGCCATTCAATCACTTGCACGTATTTTAACTGATGACATGAATGATTATACTTAGAGTGTGACCACACTCTTCTTACTTCTTCCCTGTGAGTCTTGGTTCTTTTAATCCTTTATTCTACTTCTCACCTACTTCTGATTTTCATCCCTCACTAAATACTACCCTTTTGGTCTAATATGGTAAGTTGTTCTAAGGGATACATCCCTGGTCCAATTGTTCATTTTAAAGGCGTTTGTTGTTGTGTGAAAGTTAAACCACTGGGGTTAGATTAGTTCCAGACATGAAGGGTAAATAAGGGCCGTTGTCTCAGGGGTTCCTCTAGTCTCTATCAGAGCAGTAAACTGGGTCATCTGTCTGATTTTGAGTTTTGTGTCACATTTTTCTCCTACTCTATCCACGACCTTCTACTATGATACCTTTTAGAGTGGTCAGAAATGGTATCTGAGCACCTTTTAGTTTTTCTGATCTTGAGAGCTGCACAGTACATTTGTCTTTTGCCCTAATTTTCTGTGTCTTTTATTTATTCTGAATTGAGAGACCAGTAGTTCACCATAGATGGCTTCTTGCAAGCTTGTAAGACTTCATTTTACTACTCAGTAAAATAAGACACGGAACATAGACTTTCTTATGGCAATTGTTATGTGGACTGTGTTATGTCAAATGGTCTTGATGTCCGCAGAGACTATGATCTTGCAGTTCTGGATCAGATTTATAGTCTGGGAGACCTGATAGGGGATCACCATGAGTCAGAATTGACTTGACCACAGCGAGTTTGTTTCAGTTGTTGATTTTTCCTCCTCTCTCTTTCCTCTCTCATCCCTGGTTAACTTTTAAAGAATATTTCTTTCTCTGTATAAGTCTTTCTTTAGCTTTTTACAAGGACGTATTTGTCCTTTTGTAACTGTCTTGTTTCACTCAGCAAAATGTTCTCTGAATTAACTCATGCTTAGTGGTGTTTTGTAAAGTCTTCATTATTCTTTAATGTTTCATGGCATCCCAGTGTGTGTTCATTGAGTCATTCAGCTGCTGATAGGCAGTTGAGTTGTTCTCATCTTTTTGTTATTGTGAATAATGCTGTAGGGAACACGGGTGTACATGGGTCTATTTATTTTAGAACTTTTTCCCCTTGGAATGTCTGCCTACTAATGGGATTACTGGATCAAATGGTCTTTAATGACCAGTCTTACATGGCTGGTAAGTGCAGGAAAGAATCGTCAAGGGAAAAAGAACAGGATCATCATCGTAGTGACGAAAGAAGGGATTTCTTCTGATCCAAGCCCACACTTTAGCTCTCTGTTTACCACAGTCTTCCTGCTAGTTGTCTGTCAAGCTTGCATGTTCTGGTCATACTACTGAACAGCTATTGTTGTGACAAATGTGTTAGCTACAGTTAAGAAATTTTTTGTTGTTGTTGTTCTTAAAAATGTTGGAGATCCATTTCATATACTTCTTCAGACTATTTTCAGCTTTTGACTTAATGTAGTGCTGGAGTTTGAAAATCATTTTACAGGGAGGATCAGCTAGTTAGTGAAGAATTCTGATATCCCAGCTGTTCATCCAGAAGGAAATGTTAAAAGGCTCTGATGGTTCCTGAGTGTTTCAAAACCTATGAATCATCTCCTATGTGAATTATAATAATTCCCCATCACCAGCTTAACTATGTCACGTTCTCACATCGTAATAGTCATGGGCTTTTAGCTCAGTCTGAGCTGCTTTTAGGAAAAATCATGAAAATGGGTGAAAGTTTCAATGAGGTTATAAAATCCTAATCGATAGATTTTATTTACAACTTGTTTGTTTTTTAGAGTTAATCTCCTTCCCCCTAGTAAAATGAAATACCTATAACAAAACAAAACAAATTTACTCCACTTCTGTAATAGCTTGCCTCCAGAAACTCTATGAACCTGGAGAGAGGATGAAAGGCACTCAAGCGTTGAGGACTCTCCTTCATAGGGTTGCTATGAGTCACCTGCGACTCATGGCACTTAACAACAACAACATCCTTAAAAGGGTTTAAAAAAATACCGTGCCAATAAAAAGACATGTGCACTTTATCTTCTTGTAGTAGGAACAGATTAAAATAAAAAACCACCACCACTAATGATGATGATGATAATAATAATAATAATACTAGTAATAATTTTAATAATAACCAACAAGAAGTAAGAAAGAACCTAAAAATTCTTATTTGGAAATTTCAGGTGTTTGAATAATTATACATTTAGCTGGTCTCTGCAGATGGATAGGCCTATATACAGGGACTATTTAAGAGGATAGCTTCTTAATTTCCCAAAAAGTTAAAAGTTGGCTTCTTGGATAAGCTAAACCTTAAGAAAGATGTGGTTAATATTGTCTTCATCTCTGATGAAAACTCATTACACTCATTGTTCTGCAGTTAGAAATGACTCATTGCTGACCCTCCACCACCTGTCCAAGGCTATAAATTGCATGAGAAGAGCTTGTCCATCTTTCTCCCGTTGAGATTTAAAATGCCAGAGAGGCCCCACTGTTGGTTAGTAATGCAACTCCATTCAGGCTAAGCCACTAGAATGTACTCATTTCTGATAGGGAGGTTTTAACTTAGATATTCCTTGGTGGTGTAAAGAGTTAACATGCTTGGCTGCTCACAAAGGCCTGTAAGATCAAGTTCAGCCAGATGCACCCTGGAAGAAAGGTCTGGTGACAGACCTACTTATAAAAACTTACTAGATCACAGAGTTCCACTCTGATACGCATGAGTTTGCCACCAGTCAGAATCAACCTGATGGCAATTGAGATGCCTATGATTTTCTACAGATATTTTTACTAAGAGCAGTCGTGGGTAAAACGTTCCCCACCACATTCATGATCTTCAACATAAATTACACATCTGAATTCCAGGAAATGGTTTGCCTCCCTTGAGGAACTGAAATATTTTCTCCTCACGGACACTGAGTGTCATGTAATTGGTTCTGTTTCTCTTTTTGCTTTGACTGCTAGGTAACATGAAGCCAAATTTTCTGCTTAACATTGAGAACTTTTTAGAAAACTGTGATGAGCATATTTTACTTTCTTTCTTGGACTAAACTTTCAGTTCTCATTTATATTTTCTCTGGTCCTGATTTTTAACTTGAAAAATATTTTCACGGTATTTGTTTTTGTGAGTTTCTTTAAATTGCTTTTGGGTTGAGAAAGAGCATAAATAATTAAATTTGAAAGATTGAAATAATTAGTCAAAGTTGAGAAAGGCATCTAGTGCAATGGTGGACATATAGTTATTTCTTTCTCTTCAGTATTACTCATAGGTATGGGATAATTTGGAGATGAGTATGGAGTAAGGGAAATATTATAGCCAGTATCTCCCATAGGTTGGAAATGGTTTCTCAGGAGACCATGATCTCATATCCCAATCCTACTTTCATGCACTGAAGCTGGACATAGCCAATGCTCTTAGGATTTTTTTGTTCTTATTTTGTTCAGACCAGAGGAGCCAGTTCAGTGTTAGTTGCCATAGCCTCATGAGAGAAATGGTAATTCTGTGGTACCTCATCCAGAATGGCAACTAAATGATAACTCATCCAGCATGAAAGCGAGCTGGATTGTTGCCTTCTGCACTCGCAATTCTTTGGAAGCCACTAGTCAGGGAATGAGGAATAGAAGAAGATGCTGCTCAAGTTTTCAGCATACTTCCACCTGGCATTTGAATCATGTTTTTCTCTACAACAATAATAACAAAACCCAGTATCTTGATACACTACACTTATAGCTACTGCGTCAATTATGTTCCTTCTGTTTGAAAAATAGAAACCTGAACTCCTTAATTAACCCATTCCTTATTATTCTTGAGTGTTATCTGCTCCACTCTTCTTTGACTTCAAATTTGGATACAATTTTCTTTTTCTTTCCAACTTTCTTCTAATTTTTTTTGCATGGATTTAGTAAAGTAAAAAGTGGATTAATGAACTGGAGAACTTGCTTTAGAAAGATTCTTGCTCTAAGATGTTGTACAAAGATAATTGGAAAGATTATCTGGTCCTCAATCTACCATTTTAAATTTCTCATTGCAGATTGATCTGAAAAATTCTATTAAAGAGCAACTGTTGTTTTTATGCACCATTTAGTCAACTTTGACTCATAGTAACGCTATGGGTTTGAACGCTAATCTATCCTGTACCATTCTCATTACCTGATATACTTGAACCTGTTTTCATACTGGGCCAGTCCATTTGCTGAAGGTCTTAATCTCTTACACTGACCCTCCCCCTTTCCCATCATGCTTTCCTTCTCCAAGGACTGAATTCTCTTATCAACATGCCCAAAGTGTGTTGCCTTTAAGAAGCACCGTGGTTGGACTTTCTCTGAGACACATTTGTTTGTTCTTTTGTCAGTGCATAGGACATTCAGTACTCTTCTTCAACACCACAACTTAT